ATCACAACCAAAGCCACCACCTGTCTCGTCGCGCAACAGTCATCGGTGGTGGAAGACTTAGGGAGCGGGACAAAGACTTAGAGGGCAAAGTCAAAGACTTAGAGGCCCACAGGTCCTTTTCAAGCATCGTCTTCGCGCAAGGACTTTTCATGCATCGACTAAAAATTTCGAAAGCAGGATGAAAAACACGTCGGTACGTCATCACCGTCACGATGACGTCATCCGATGACGTCAGTCGGATCTGGATTCTTAAAGCGGGGGTGAAATCCAATCCGGTCAGGAGTCCGAGAGATAGGAGCCACGAATCTTGCCAGGAGCGCAAGACTTAGGGGCCAATCTGTCGAAGACTTAAGGGGCCGATCAGCTTTTTTGTTTGTTTGTGAAAAATCGCGAAAAACGCGACATGGCCCTGGAGTCGCGGACGCACGGCAACAAGGCAGGGTAGCCGAGGAGGGGAAGAAGCACCATGGTGTCACTCAAGAGGAGCGAAGCACCAGTGGTGTCGCTCAAGAGGGGAGTGAAGCACCATTGGTGTCGCTCAAGAGGGGAGTGAAGCACAGTTGGTGTCCTCAAGAGGGGAGTGAAGCACCAGTTGGTGTCGCTCAAGAGGCGCTAGCGAAACACCAGATGGTGAACGCATCATAGCAGTGGCTCAGATATGGCGAGTGTGGGCTAGCCGAAGCATCATGGCCGAGGGAAAAGGATCGATCGGTCATCGGCGAAAAGCAGAAAAGACCGTTCGATCGCTCCGTTCGATCGCGCTCCAAGCGGAGCACACCACCATGACCGGCAAGCAGTAGCCGTAGGAGTGGTGATAGCAGTAGCCGTAGCGAGTAGCCATTGCCAGTCGCCGTTCGAAAAAGAAAAGAAAGAAAAGGACGCCATTGTCCTCTTCGATTGGTGGCTACTAGCAATGTGAGGCTTGGATTGGCTCCTGCTGCGACTGTTCTCCTGATAACCCTAACCCTATCTACGGTGACGTACCAGTCCAGGCAGGAGCAAATGTGCTTCCACATTGCTCTGCTTAGAGTCATGGCGATAGCTGTGCCACCATCACGCCCTTCCCACCCAGATTGAGCTACGTACGAGTACACGTACCGTATTACCAATATACAACCCTACTAGCATAGTAGAGAGTATGTGCAAAGGGGGAGTTGTATCGACTGGTGGGACTTGGGGAGTACTCTTACTAGGTCTTACTAGCGCCGGCAGTGACCGGTTCCCCCCAATCAGTGCTATGTATGGTTATGCTTTATTGGGTATGGTAATACATAAAAGACTTTGAGAGTATTTTCCGGGGAAAACCAGTCATTTGAGGTATCCCATACTACTCAGAATCGCATTGGTAGTTGCATCGCAACCCCAAAATACAACATTTCGCCTAAGTATCTTTACCAAAATACAACTCAATCGTACGAAGAACAACTAGTCACACACAAACGTTCCGCGAAACTCAAAGACTTAAGGTCCGGAATGCCTCTCTTAGCACTGAGAGAGGGTAAACTGCGCAACATCCTCTCATTTCAACCGACGTATCACGGCATACGATCGAGTTGGCCGTTGGATTTTCCTCTTGTCGGAGTGAGTGCACTCTTCATTTCCTCTCCGAATCTCTCATAAATTCGGATACAGCACTTTAACAGCGATAGCTATGCTGAAATTGCTCGCTATTTTGTTACTCTTGCTCTTTTGTTTGTTATCCTCACCATGGCAGGGCCCGCAAGCACCCACAACAATACCGGCCGGCATGTGCCAGTTTATGTCTGGAAGCATCGCGCCATACGAGAGCAAGGTTCACACAGGTAGTTCTCGCCAAATCTGTCATTTCGCATCCATCTCGCTGATCGAACTCACACCATGGTCCATCTTCTTCATTTTTTTTCTTCAGACAGTTCCTGCATTACCCCACTGATGTCGCCCAGTTCTAACTTCCTTGCCTATGGAAAGACCAACCCTGGCCCAATGATCGTCCCACCCACAGGAGATCCTCCACTCTTGATCAGTACAAGAAAGCCATCAGCTACTTCCATCCCAACAAGCACGCACCATGGGCGGTTGGTCCCAATGTTGGGAATCCAACTGCTCCACGAATGTCAACGAAGTGATCAAGGCGTGAAAAGGCGAGGTCAGGAAGCAGGGCGTTCCTTCCAATGCCAAGAGGGATCTCAAGCTGCGGAATTCCGCAAGACCATTCGGATCCTGGAGCGCGATGGAGGTGCCAACATTGACCTACGATCAAGACTCCAACCATGATGAAGCTTCAGTTTCACTGATTGGCGCACTGATGATCTGACCAACATGGAGACTATTGGACTTCGCAGCCACTCCAAGTTTCCAAACTTCGCTCTCAAACCAAGGTATCCTGGAGCAAGAACGTCCAGGAGGAGCGCATTGTCCTGACCAGATTATCTTGGGTGCCGCCGACCCGGATTTCTGCACTCTGGTTTCCTTGGCTATTTGGATCGAGACTCGGCTTGAGAGGGGACATGGAGATCCCAATTTTTGTTTGGGCATACCGTGTTGACGATGAAGAAGCATTCCTTGCCGCCATCGAGGCTCTGGACAACGACGAAGAGCTCATCGAGACCAACATCGAGACGGAGCCAGATCGAGTCCACGCCTGGTACCAACGCGTCTTGAAGAAGGCTTGGAAAGACCTGAGTTTGTGGAGCTGGCCAAGCAAGTCCAGGGAGCCTCGGTACCACAGTTCGCAAGCTGCCTCCAACCTAGCAGCCGAGTGTGGCATCACCCAGGCGAGAATGAGCTCGTGGTCGCTGGAAGGGCGAGAAGAACGGCCATATTGTCCATGTCTACATTGGCTGGAACAGTTGCCACCGACGCCAAGGTTGCGGAACTCTTGCTGTTGGAGGCCCGTCAAGTACTCGATCAAGATTGACAGCGGTGTTGACCATGGGTTCATCTGAGCATGTCTGTCCGAAGATTTGTGACTTCTTTGCGACGACCCATCCAACAACCTACCGATGGTGCTTGGTCCAGCTTTGCTTTGGGCTGCGATGGAACCTGGCTTGGAGCATATGATGCCGGAGACATTCGCAACCGCATCCAGACGAGTATGCCCAGCTTCGGACCACTTTGGATGAGGATCCTGGGGCCGACTACAACCCAGTCGCCAAGATCCCCTGACAATCTACAAGGTAGCCAATGCATTGCACATTACTAGTTGGCTCCCACCGCCCAGTCCAAGCTGGTGCTGAGCCCTTGGTTGGAGGTGCTCCTGGTGGTGTCAACATGGAACAGCTCAACCAATTGCTTGCTCTTCAACACAGGACTCAGCAGGCAATCGAGGAGGCCAGCAGATTCTTGCACAGGACATCAGCTCCTTGAGGGGCTATGTTTCGACAACATGGCCATCGTGAACAAGAACATTGGGAGGATCAACCACTTCCAGTTGATCGGAGAGGGGTGGCGGTGCTCCACGGCTTCCGCTTCCTGGTGTGCCCGGTGGAGCTGGCGGCGGTGGTGGTGCTGCGGGAGCTGGCGGCGGTGGTGCTGCGGGAGCTGGCCGCGGTGGTGCTGCTGCGGCGGGCGGAGGACTTCCCCCACCACCACCGCCGAGTCCTGGGCGTTTGGCCCGTCTCCTGCCGCAAGGGCCCCTACACCCGCTACCCTGCCAGCCCAGCTTTCGAAGAAGCTTTCAACCTCTACGAGCTGTGGGACGAGTGGATCAAGGGCCTGAATGGCAACAAGGCCGCATGCGAGTTTACTGCTCGTGAGCGCGGCCGCGTCAAGGACAAGTTCTGCCGCCGCAAGCATGTGTGGACTGTGTTATTCGGTTGATGGCGAAGGGCTTCGATTGGAGGGCAGCGGTCGACCGCATCTATGCCACCTACGGGTGGCTTACGTCACCCAGATCATCAACAAGTTTAAGCACGACAAGAAGAATCAGCCCACCGGCTTCCACCCACGCTTGCGTTGAGCGAACTGCCTTGGTGGTACCCAGCCTACAGCGCGATCCTGCTGTAGCATAGCAAAAACAAATTTTATATGTTTCATTTTAGTTTTAAGAATTTTTTGTGACTTGTGTTTTTCCTTGTTGTGTTTTGTTATCTTGTTTGTGTGTGATCTGAGCGACTTTGTCTTTGCCGTTCGTGGACTTAGCATTTTCGAGGACTTAGCATTTTCGAGGACTTTGCGATTTTCATGTTGTGCTTTTCCACTCTGCCGATCACTTTGCGATCTTTTGCATTGACTTTCTTCCTCTTGTGTGCGTCAGTGTGTTTGCGAAAGCCTTCGTTCATACCAGTGTCGATGTTCCAGCGAGCCAGTCGGTCGTTCGATGTTCCAGTCAGCGAGAAAGGTAGAAACACCCACAAACATAAGGAAAGACAGGGTAACACGTAGAGCCTGGTACTCCATGTACACGGTTGTATTCCTGGTTTGTCAGGGAGCAGATACCTTTACCGTACATACCGTAGGCTAACCATTTCCCATGCAGCCTTGGCAGAGACACGGTCACCGGTTCACTTGTTAACTTGCAGGACTTTCGAAAGAAAGGTGCAAAGACTGCAAAGTTGTGAAATCGCGCACGTCGATCTCTGTTTCTTACGTCACTTAGAAGCAAAAGATTTAAGTAGCATTCCACGGACCCAATGGTACCTAGGCAACAGGTGCCAACACGATTAATGAGATTACAGTAGAACCGGTACCAATCTTCTTATGTGTACCGGTACCACGGTACCACAGCTTTAAAGCTATCTTCTTACCATGTGCAAGTGACTTGGTCACCCAATGAAGTTTGAAGTTTTGTCGCAAAAGGCATGACATTGTTCGATGAAGTGTTGGTGCGCAAGTTCTCAGGAGGCAGAGCGAACTCTGAAGTTGCAACGCTTTGCTCCGTGCATGTTCATCCAGCTGATTGAAGATTCGCTTCTCCTCTACTTGGAGAGAGAAACCATTGGAGCAGCTCAGAAGATCAAATAAAAGATCGCATATTATATACCAGCTGTGCCGTTTACTTCTTCTGCATTGCATGTATGAACATGGACGGTACTAGGGTAACCTCCTCGCTGGAACGATCCGCTCCGGCTCCTTTGCAAGATGAGGCGGAAGTGCCTCTGGATTCGTCCAATCTCGTGGCTCCCAGTGTGAGCTCTATCGTATCAATGGTTCGAAACCAAGAGGCAGCAGCAGAAGAAGAACAACAACAGCAAGAAGGTCCCATTCTGGTACAATGGACGCAGTTCACGTCTACCATCCACAGAGGGATTTCCCATGCGGTGGTGAAACTTTCTTGTCTAGCTGCTCGCAACCCCAAGACGGTAGTCGCACTTGTCTGCTTCTTGTCAGTGGCACTGCCTCTATTGGGTCTCTTGACGAATCTACAAATCGAAGTCGAGCAAGAAGCCATCATTTCGCCGTTTAACTCTCTGAGTCGAAAGCACTCTGATTGGATCCAAGAACAAGCTGGCTTTCCACAGCCTACCAGACCCTTTGACTTGTTGGTGCACCGCAATGGTGATACCGTGTTGGATGTAAACACCATGCGCAAAGTGTTTGAGGCGCTGGAAATCTTTCAAGCGACGCCCGGATACGCCAAGATTTGTGCCTCGAGTGATTATGAGATACCCAACACGGGCCAACGAACCTGTCGGATCAATGCAGCGACTCGCTTCTGGTGGCATAATAGTACCCTCTTTGAAGAGCAAGTGAAAAGTGAAGCAGATCTTATCCGAATTCTCTCGGCCGATGAATATCCTCTGGGGACTCCTGTGGGTGATCATGACTTTATTCTAGGGAATTATCAAATGATGATGCAAGCGGAACAGCCCGAGCAGAAGAAGAATAGTACCGTCACAACCACAACAACCAACGTCTTGACATCGGCTCAATCCTACATTATCCGTATCGATGTTCCTGTTGTGGAAGGCAGGAGCCCCTTTGCCTTTGAAGACGCTGTCACGGAAGTACTCATTGACATCCGGCAGGCATGGGACGAGGACGAATCGCACAAAATTCATCTCGAATTCTTCACCTTTCGATCCATCCACAAGGAGTTCACCAGAGCCATTGCCAACGATTTACCGCTTTACCCGGCAGTGTTCTTTATCATGTGTGGGTTTGCTTGTCTTACGTTTTATCGAAAGGACAGAGTGCGATCGAGATGTTTGTTGGGCATTGGAGCTGTCGTGACGGTTCTACTAAGTCTCATGTCCGGCATGGGACTGCTCTTTGTGATTGGTACGTACGTGTGAAATGGTTACTGGTGCATATTATCTCCAGCATTATTTCTCGTGTCGGAATAAACCAACTCATCAACCTTGATTGATTCTTCTACATTCAATGATTAGGCGTTCCGTTGACAAACCTTACGGGGAGTCTGGCTTTTGTTGTCTTTGGAGTGGGCTTGGACGATACGTAAGTCATGTCAAATGGGCGCCAGGCGGAAAGCATCCCAGTTGAGTTGTTCTTTGGAGTGTCTTAGCTATCTTCTATTGTCTTTCTCTCCAGGTTTATCATAATGGGCCATTACAACCGCACGGATCCTCGCAAATCTCCGGTGGAACGCGTGGAGGAAACAATGGAAGTTGTGGGATTGTCAATCTTTGTCACTACTGTGACCACCATGATGGCCTTTGGCTTGGGAACTCTGTCCGCGGTTCCTGCCATCAACTGGTTGTGCTGGTATGCCTGGCCCACCATCCTTATCGATTTCCTGTATCAGATCACCTTTTACATCGCATTGGTCATACTGGATGAAGAAAGGATCATGGCTAACCGTCGAGATTGCCTTGTTTGCATCACTGTACCACCACGAAAGCAAATGGACACGCAGAAATCGGCTCCCTCGGAGGAAGAGAAAGAGGAAGAATGTGATGAATTGGAGCCTGACAGTCTCAGCGGTCAAGACGAGGAAGAAGAGGTCGCACAGACTGGCAAAACTTATCAAGAACGTTTCATGGAATCCTACGCCAAGTTCCTGCTCCGACCTAAAGTCAAGATTGCTGTCATTGCTGCGTTTCTCATTTACTTTGGCATTGCATTGTATTTTGCCACTTTGCTGGAGCAAGAGTTCAAACCGCAGGAAATCGTGCCCGGAGATTCTTACGTGAAAGGTTTTCTGAATGGCGTGAACCAGTACAGCAAACAGGTCATCATTGTTGGAGCCTACTTTCGCAACGTCGACCAATCCAACAGCACAACGCAGGACTCTATGCGTGAGTACATTGAGAAGCTGGGCAACTTGTCTCAAATCAATGAACAGCCACCGTTTTGTTGGGTACGTGACTTTCAAGAAATCCAAAAGAATTATGCAGCCATGGCCGAGACACTGCAAGAGCTCCCCTTCAGTGAACAACTCGACTTTGCACTGTCCATCCCAGCCATCAAAGAAGTTTACGGCAGTGACATTGTCGTCGATGCCGAGTCGGGGAACATCACAGCATCTCGTTGTTGGCTCTTCATGAAGCATTTGGATCTGCAAGATGTGGAAGAACAGACTAAAATGCTCCTGGATCAACGCCGACTATCGCGTGATCAGCTCGAGAACCAAGGAACGTCAGAGTTTGCATTCTTTTCATTTGACATTTGGTATATCATTTGGGTGCGTATAGCTCTTTGAGGTTCGTCGTGGTGGAGCTCTTGCAAGCTTACACACATGGAATTATCTCTGTGCGTTCTCTTATGCAGGAGTTTTATAACGTTGCCCTGAACGAGCTCATCCTGACGACGATTGGCGGGATTGTAGCTGTGAGCATCGTGGCGTTCTTCTTCATACCACACTGGTGAGAGCGAGTACTGTTGCAAAATCAATCGAGACAAACCTCATGATTGTACACTCTCACCAACATGTCCCCTCCCTCACGTTTCTCCGTGCCCAAGGACTGCTGTGTTGTTTGTGTCACCCTTGATCACAACCCTCTACATTGACCTTCTCGGAACCTTGTCCATGGCTGGCGTCAGCGTCAACGTTGTAACCTACGTGTGCCTTGTCATTTCTGTGGGGCTGTTGGTGGACTTTTTGATGCACATGTTGCTCAAGTACTATGAATCACACGAGCGAACGCGCGAAGAGAAAGTTAGGGATACTCTGGTTACCATGGGCCCTTCCATTTTGGTTGGAGGTCTATCAACTTGTTTAGGGGTAGTCCCTTTGGCATTCAGTGGAAATGACGTCAACAAAGTGGTGTTCACTTCTTTCTTTGCAATGGTTACCCTTGGTTTCGTCCATGGATTGATCTTTCTTCCCGTCATCCTTTCCATGGTTGGTCCCACAAATACGCGTTCAAGACAGTTGAAGACTGCGGAGAAAGAGGTGGAAAAGTCAAGCGATGATGAAGCAGTTGTAGAGCGTGAGCTCTCGATGGCGTTCTCTGTGGGATCGATCAGCGTTTGAATCCGATTCTTGAGTGCTCGTTGCTGTCACACCCACTCCTGACTAGCCCTAGCTACCTTGACATTACAATTTGCAAGCAACGGGGGAAAGCAGCGAGACTTACTGCAGGGTTCTTGTCCACTGACACCTACAGAGATAGTAACCACCCACTGCGGCCAATCAACAAAAATGATGCACAAGGAGATTCATCACTTTCTTCAGCTCGAAGCAGTAAGGAGCTCCGTCACCTTCTGGAGTTGGACAGGTGAGCTCGACTGCAAACTTCTGTGCCCCCACAACTAGCTAGCTAGCATGGCTTCCTCTTGTCCAAAAAGAGATAGATACATGTAGTGCTACTGCAAGTAAATAGATACCGGTACAGACTACAGCTCAGACTACAATGGTTTCCCAGCATTCTGTACCGTCACAGTACGGTACAGATATCATTCCAAGCAAAAAATTTCGAAAAAGATTGAGTTTTGGTTGAGATACGGGCATCTAGATATGGCCATTCAGGCTAGCAAAGCAAGGCGATCCACGGGGCAGCCTGCTAGCTACTAGGAGCCCAAGGAAGGTCAAAATCAAAAATAGCTTTTTGTCAGTCATGGGGATAGGTTGTATCCCTGTGACAGACGAAAAGCGATTTTTGCAAAATTCCATTTTTAATCCAGAAAAATGCTTCCCCAGTTTTCCTGCCAAACCAACCAGGGTTACGGTACGGTACAGTCGTACCCGTTCCGGTGGCATTACGCACGGCTGGGGTGGCACTCAATTCGATCCTATTCGGACCTTCGATTAAATCATTTTGAGTTTCGATTTTTTCCGTTACTTCCCCTAAAATCCTCGGGAGGAACTTTTGAAAAGGTCCTTCACTTTTTATCATACGTAGAGTTTTCCTTTATTTTGTTGAGTACTGAGTACTGAGTATGGATTCCAAGACAATGGACCGAAAGCCTTTGGCTCCTGCGGACGGCAAAGTCAACATTGAGAGCGTTGATGATTTGGTTCCATTGCTGGCCAAGAAGCTTCATGTCTCGGAGCCACCGCCTCCCAACAAGAGCAACAATGAAGACGTCTTGTTGGATGAAGAAGACGATCACCCCAATGTGTCGAATGTAAAGGTGGATTGGGAGAAAGAACGCGACGAAATGGATAAGATGTTTGAAGAGCAAGCAGCAAAACAACTGGATGGCCTTCCAGAGTTCGTCAAACCTCAGCGACTCAAGAAAAGTGTCAACGTCTTTGAACACCAAAAGGAAGGAATTCGTTGGCTCCTTCACCAGGAAATGAACCCTCGCGAGAATCCTTTTGTCCGTCGCCGAACCCTCAAGAGTGGAGTTGTTGCCATGTACGATCGCCTCACCAAGCGTCGTATTGGTGAAGCATATGAACCATCTCGTGGAAGTATCCTGGTAAGTACTAGTGGTGAAGAAAATTGCGTGTCACACCCACCACAACGACATCATGATGGCAGCATGCCACTCACATTGCTTTCCTACATCTTCCAGGCTGACGACATGGGGCTTGGTGTAAGCACTTGTGTGTCTTTTCCGATCCTGTTGGTTCATATGCAGCCTCTCACCTGTCATTTCTCGATGCGTCCTTCCTTTTCACCGGCAGAAAACACTACAAACTATCGCGACAATTCTCTCCAACCCTCCCGACGACTATCGGTATGGCAAAAGTGTTGATTCTGATATCCCAATCTGCACTGTCATTGTCTGTCCAAAGACTGTCATTTCAAACTGGCTGGAGCAGATTGACACCTTTGTGAAACCTGGGACCTTTCGCGTTCAAGTTTACACCGGAACTCCAAAACAGAGATCCAAGATCATTGAAAAAGTACAGGACAATGAGATTGACATTCTTTTGTCCAGGTAAGAGCCACGATGCCAAATAACACGGTGTTCACGATGTCAACATGCCACTCATAGTTTCGGCGACACGACTTCACTCGACTGACTCGACTTGACACACAGTTACGAGACGATTTCTGCAGAATTCAAAGAGGACGCGAAGGACTACAAGATCAACACAATTCACGACGAGAAAACTGAATTTCATCGTATTGTTTTGGATGAAGCTCAAACAATTCGCAATGGAAAATCCAAGGTCTTCAGGGCAATCACTTCGGTTGCTAACAAATCTGACTTTCGCTTGGCGTTGACGGGGAGTATGTCCAACAATTGATTTCTTCCTGCGAGTGCGGTCAGGCATGATACTGTACTCACTTCTTTCTCATCTGCACACGCTGCCACCGTAACCACAGCCCCATTTGTAAACAAGCCTGATGATATCCATTCATTGTTGACCTTCATTGGCTTGGATCCTCTGGCTGATGTCAATACATTCAAGCAGTACATTACGGATCCAATCAAAGATCGTAAGTCTTTTGTTGCATGTGTCTCTTGCTTGCCATATTGGTATTCCTTTCTCAGCGCTCTGTTGTCAAACTAGGCAAGCGCGCGGGTTTGACTCGCCTTCGCGCCGCACTCGCATACGTTGCATTACGTCGTACGAAAAATGCTTGTGGCGATTCGGTCAAATTGCCGCCCAAAACCATCACTGTGCAGACTGTAGATTTCCCAGAGGGCCAGCATAAGGAGATTCATGACGCCCTCTTCTTCTCTGCTCGCAAGGCCTTTGAAGCCTCCATCAACGGCAACGTCGAGAGCGAAACTGGTGTCACAAAGGTTGCGCAGGTGAGCAGATATGAACATGTCTTGACAATACCGGTACACTCCACCCCCATGGCACACACTCTCATCATTTTTGTACTTCTTGTTGTACTTCTTGTTAGAGTGCAATGTTTGGCCTTTTGACTCGTGTCCGCCAGAGTTGTGCTAGTGGTGCCTTGGTCGCAGCTGGTCACTTTGATGTGGCTCGTCAAGTCATGGAGATGGAAAATCGCCAGGGCGAGGAAGGTGATCGTGCGCTCGATTTGCTTCAGTCTTCTGATGCTTCGAATGGTCAGCGTATTCGAGTTGAACAGAACTCGCCCAAGATTGCGGCTCTTTTGAATGGAATTGAAGCCATGGCAGCAGATGAAAAAGCAGTCATCTTCAGGTATGCAAATGAAACTGTGCGACGGGCCCATCACAATGCCAACATTCGGCTCACTTTTCGCGTTTTCCTGAATCTCCCAGCCAGTGGACATCATTTTTGGATCTGATCGAAGTCGCGCTCAACTCAACGGGACATGAGCATGAGTTTGTTCGCATCGATGGCTCCATGACCACCGCACAACGAACCAATTCGATGGATCGTTTGACAAATGACGAGGGTTGCCGCTTCATTCTTTGCTCGCTCAAAGCCGCAGGGGTCGGAATCAATCTCACCAGAGCCAATGTTGTTTTCATGATGGATCCCTGGTGGAACGACGCGACTGAGGTAAAAAGTCATGCTGTGCAATGTCCCCTCCTACACATGTCATACCGGTATCCCAAAGCTCACAGTCTCTGGCTTTCCCTTCAATCCTACTCAGATGCAAGCCATTGACCGGGTCCATCGTATGGGTCAGCAGCGCCCAGTACGCATCTACCGGCTCGTGATGAGAGGATCGGTTGAAGAGCGAATGTTGGCTGTCCAGCGTGCCAAGGCAACAATGGGCAAGGGGACTATGAAGAAACTCTCTGGTAAGTGCGGTGATTGGTACCGGTAACAGTATGTCCCACTCTGAAGCCAATCCACTACTCATGCCATCCTCACACAAAATTGTGCTACACCCATTGTGCTGCAACTCAAGCCTCCGAAGAGAAGCTCGCCAAGATGACGGGCCTCAAAGATCTTTTTCAAATCAACGAGGAAGCTGATGACAACTTCATTGTTTGGGAGTAGATTTGTATCGCATCCTTTCCAACCTCACAGCTTCACAGCACGAACTTGAAGTGAACCCGCACAATGACATGGCTTTTACCAAGGGGACAGTATAGGTTTGATTCCACGAGATAACACATAACATACCGATAGCACAGAGAGAAACTAGAGTGTCACATGCAATACATATATTACTAACAACCGGCAAAGCCAGTAACGATTCGATTCTACTATAGTTTTGTTACCGCAATGGGGAATGCCGTGGGTGGCAGGGAACATCATCAAGCTATCCTGCCCAAATCTGCCTTTTCTTCCCTTGACCTCTATTCTCAGAAGGTTGTGGATGCAGCGAGATACCCACCTGTCCCACTATCTCCTACTCTTCTACTTCCCTGGCTGTTTATTGATGTTTTCTCTGATTACTTTGGCAGGAACTCCTGCTACGACAGTGAACTCCGGAACATCCTTGACCACGACAGCTCCAGCTCCCACCACGGCACCGTCTCCGATGTTGACTCCTGGGCAAATGGTAGCATTAGCTCCAATCCAGACATTGTTTCCAATGGTTATTGGTTTCGCAAACTCATCTCCTTTTGCTCTTTCAGACGGATCGAGTGGATGTGTGGCACTCGAGATGCAGACATGGGGTGCTAAGAGCAGTCACTAAAAATATAGGTCGCACTATTGGTCGTTCCCAAATAGATACCTATCTGGTCGACCCAAACGGCGACCTTTTTCATTCACTAAAATTGGGTCGCCATATCGTCGACTGATACCTAATTGACCAATTCAATCACTAAAATTTCGTTGCAACATAGGTCGCCGAAACGGTCGTTCGTTCCGTGGAACTTTCGCTCGAGCTCATTTCGCTCCTCATCAGTGTGCTTTATTGATTGCTTGGTTGCTTTGGTTGCTTTGGTTTGACAATGAAGACTGCAGGAGCTAAGGGAAAGGGAGATGGCTTTGTGGAGAAGCACAACAAGGCCGCAGCAGACATCAGGAAGAAGCGTCAAGATGAATCTGCCGCATCAGTCAAGTCATCATCTGAGAAGAAGAAGAAGAAGAAGAAGTAGAGCAGTTTCTACACCTGCCAAGAGTACAGGAGCCATAGCAAGAAGCGTGAAGAAGATTGCTGCCGCCAAGGTGCCGCCAAGAAGCCCACTGGCAAGCCTCCATTGCTCCAAGGAAGAGGACCAAAAAGGGGATGCTGTGAAAGCTCCTGAGCTCGTACCAGTCAAGAAGGAGACTCTCAATGCGGCCAACCTCAAATGGACTGAAGAAGAGGATTCCATTTTGGCCCGGGCCTTCCGCAAAACCACAACAAACCTTGTCAAAGGTGCCAAAGAAAAAGGAGATGTGTTTTGGGGGAATTTGTGTTTGAACTACAATGCAATCCGACAGGAAGAAGATCCCCAATTGACTGCGAGGAACCAGAAATCATGCCAGAACCGTTGGTCTCGGCACATGTTGCCTTGTATGAACCACTTCATTGGTTGCTGGCGCTTTGTGAAAAAACCCTTGAAGTCTGGATGGTCTGAAGAGGACTACATCAATGCTGCAATTGCCGAGTACAAGGACAAACTCAATAAGGATTTCAAATTCGCCGGTGTCTTGGATACCTTGAAGGCACTTCCTAGATTTGATCCCAATATCAGTGACGAAGAGGCAGCTGATATTGAGAATCGTGTTGTTGATCTTGGATCCGATAAGGCTGCTCCTGCTTCTGATACCAATGAAGTCGTGTGTTGATGTGGCTACAACCAAAACAGCGACCTGGTCGATCCACTGGTCGCAAAGTGACCTTGAATCGACCAGTGGAACGACCGGTCGATTTCGGTCGCAACCTAAACCTCGACCGAAATGAGTTAGTGACTGAATAGGTTTCGATTTGGGTTCCAGCTAAAAACCAATCGACCAATATTGGGTGCGACCTATTTTTTAGTGACTGCTCTAACATGCAGTTGTCGCCAACGGTGATTATAGCACAGTCTAGAAGGGTGCATCCATGGTTGGCATAAAAATTCTTTCCCACTTTTAGGTGACATCCATAGTCGACGTTGAAGGGTGATTCCACAAGAGCATCATCGACACCAAGAATCTGTTTGGTGATGATCTTTCTCCTTTGTGTGTCCAATGGAGACGTCTGATTTAATTCGAAGCAGAGTTGTTTGACATCATTGCGCATTTGGAGCAGTACGGGATCAAAGGCATCGTAGAGATTGCCATCCAGCATTTTCTGAAGTTCACTCTTATCGTTGTTGGACATGATTGATACGATAGATAGATAGAAGGGCAAGTTGTTTGTGGGTGGATTGTGGTTTATGACAGGAGACAGGAGGGGTCCGTCTGTCTTCTGTCTTGCTTGCTGGATTGTCTTCTTGCTTGAATGAGGACAAATGAACCGTGGACTGGCAGCTAAGGATCTTTGGATCCACGGACCAGTAATTGAGTCCCACGACGGAGAATTCAGAAGAACTTTCCAAAAGATGACTTTTCTAACCTCAACCCTCTTCTGTCGATAGTTTTGACCCTATTTGCTTGGCGCGGGTTTCTCCCCAAGATTTAATGTTCTAAACGGATTTATGGTTTCCTAAATGGTCCTTAAAACCTCCAAAATCATCCCAATAAATCCACCCCCAAATGAAGATTTTCTCGTTAAATCGTCGGATACGATTGAGATTAAAGGATGATTGAGTTCTCTCAGAATCACGAAGAACTTTCCAAAGGTTGAGGCCCAAAAATTGATTGATCGTCGGTGGTCGGCGGTCGGCGGTCGGCGGTCGGCGGTGTTCGGAACAGTCCTCAGCGACCTTGGAGCCACAGACATGCCATCGTTGCGATTCCTATCACTGTAGAAGATAATGATAAGATGGGTCACAAATTGACAACTCGAGAGGAGTGTCATACACTAAAAGAGTCAGACAGCAACCATGACGAAACCAGCTACCAGTACCAACAAAACTGCAGATTCCACCCCGAAGAAACGAGGAGGCGGCTGCCCCTTCCAATCTAAGCGCGGATATGTGGATGCTCGACGCGACTACTTGAACCATTTCCATAAAACTACCAACGACTACGACGATGAAGAAGAAAACCCGAGGGATCTTCCCACCGAATCCTTGGTAGCCAGCACCAACCTTGACGATCCTCTCTATTTCTGGCAGCTCCATTCCATTATGGGTCCCAAACCAGTGGTGGATATTGTGACCAATTTTTACAACCGCGTCTTTGAAGACACGGAGAATCCCTGGTTTCGAGACGTCTTTGAGCGGGTGGCGCCCAAATATCATCACATCCGAACCCAGGTTGCCTACTGGGTCGATGCCTTTGGTGGAGGCAAAATCTACCATGGTGGAAACTTCCGTTTGACCTTTCATCATTTGAACAATGCAAACAAAATCATGAATGCCCAGGGCGCCAAACGATGGATGTTCCACATGCGCAGCGCTTTGCTACATGGCCAGAAACAGCACCGAATATTCCAGGACGATCCCAGGGTCTTTCCGTGCATTGTGCTATTTTTGGAGGTCAAAATGCAAATGTATGCCAAGGAACATCGATGGAGGTTTGACGCAAGTGATTTTGAACCTTTGAAACAAGTACATGCCAAAGAAAGCAAAGAGACCACTCAGCAGAAACAGGCTAAAGATGCAGACTCTCAGGAGGGGTTGAAAAAGCGTGAAAGCAAAAACAAAACGAACAATCAGCAAACGGATGAAGAGAGTGAAACGGAAGAGACTGAAAGTGACAGCAAGAGTTTGTGGGTTTAGCAATGGTGAAAAGGTTCGGACCAAGGAAGAATCGTTGCTGTTCGACGGCGCAAGAACCCTATTGAAATGTGCAAATAAAGAGGTCACATTGGAGGAAAGACGGAGGATCTATATGTAACTGTAGTGTGCTGAGAGGTGGAGCTCCAAGTCGACAGTTCACTTGTGGTAAGGGTCGAGAAGTACTAATAGCTGTGTTTAGCAAACAATGTACTGGCAATGGATTTCAGAAGCAACGATCTGCAAGTCCTCGTGGTTGTTCCCAAAAACATCTCATGTAGGAGTTTGACCTCCTCGGTGGCTCACAATCTTCAGCAAAGGGGATGGGGTACTGTACAAAACCACGATAGTGCCCATGTTATCCGGCTGCTGTGATGCCAGACGACGACGAAGTAAGCGAAGCACTTTGGCTAAGGATTCAAGTTTTAGCTAGCTAGGTTACTTTCCCAATGCTTGTAGTTTGTTGACTTTCTTTTGTAGGGATTCAGGCCAGTTCATCGTTTCAGTCAGAAACTTTTCATTGCGAAAGCGGGAACAGCTGATTCCAACACCCTGCTGGTCGTCAATGCTAAACTTGAGTCTATCTGCATTGGGGGGTGGCATTTTGATGGAACGTTTTTGGGCGTCAGCTTCCATTTGTTCCATTCGATAACAAGCACTACCAAGCATTGACTCTGCCTCCTGTTTATCACCAGAGTCCCACAATACGCTTGCAAGAGCAATCCTGCTCTCCCCTTCTTTCGCTAGCACGCGCTGCAGCAAGTCAACTTCGCCTCCTTCGATTTTCTTCATGTTTTGTATTGCTGCCGTGATTTGTGTTTTTGCTTCAGAAGTTCTGCCCAATGCTGCGATGTCAATGCCTGCGTCCATTTCTGAGATGATGGCACGAGCCTAGTTGTTTCCCAGAGAGAGAATGATACAGTCAGCCTCGCAGCCGAACAGCGCTCCATACGGGAAGTATCATCCTGTGCGTGTTTCAACCTACCTTGTCTCCAATGTCATTGAAGGAATCCGCAGCTAACTTGTGCACTTTGGCAGCACCTGCTAGGTCACCCTTGCTTCGCAGCGCGGTTCCCCATTCCCACGCTCTGGCCGCCAAGGAAGAGTTGAGTTGGTTGTAAAGATATATATTCAAGGATAGTGTGTGGAGGACAGTCACTTACGCATACGGGTTTCTTCCTGCACCATCCTCTTCGTTCTCTGCATCTGTGTCCCATTCTTCTTTGGAGGAAAGTCTCAATGAAAGCTGATAGTCTTTGGCTGTTTGTTCCAGTTGCGCTTGGGATGCAGCCCTGCCTTGGCTACGGACAGCTCTGGCTCTTCCAAGTCTTCAAGCATTGTTTTGAGTTTTATTGTAGATTGTGGATTACACAGCATCAGCGTTGTTTGGGGGTACAATATTGAATAGAACAGCAAGAGCAACACTTACAATGCCGTTGGCAACTCAGTCGGATCAGCTTGCTCGCCGCCTGGTCCCTGTATGACAAGCAAAGAGGTTCGTGCATTGGCTTCGACCGAAAACAATGTAATTGCAACATACCAAAGTAATCAGAACATACCTGCAAGTACTCGATTGCCTGAGCATAATCCTTTTCGGCTTTCTGGGGTTGCAAAAGGGCCTAGGGAGAGGAAAAGAGACATGTCAGCATGTAGCAGCATTTTTCCGCCCTGGATCAGGCTGCAAAATAACTATAGATACATTGGCTTGGAGCTCACCATGTAGCAATCTCCTCTCACACGATAAAGTCCCTGTGCATGCAAGAAATCGATGAGGCAAGGAGTGGATTGGTGAGCCAATGGTAGGTAACGTCAGGAAGCACAAGTGCTGCATACGAGCTCGCTGTCTCTTACAGCCTTTTCGTCAGGCGGCTGACGCTGCCAGGCTTCAATAACTTTGGACAGTAGCTGCTCTGATTTTTGCAGGTCGCGATCCACACCATAAAATGTTGCAAACGCCTCTCGTAATAGCTTGATTTCTTCCTGTGTTGGTGGACCTGCTTCTTCCGCCAAGGCAGATGGAACCAGCCACTCTCGAATCCCTTGCTCCAACGGTGCATTTTCACCAGTATAACCTGGTAGCTCATTGGCATTCAGCTTTTGTGTGGACAAGTCAATGATGACAGATTCAGAGGGATCAACAGGGGTAGCCAGCTCCGTTGGTGGGGTCAGAGGGCTGAAAAGGTGCAGGCCACTGCTACCCATAGTCGCAAGGTCGACGTTCCGGCCCTGCGATCCAACAAAGGCGGCAACGACAAGATTAGAGAATCTCATGGTCTTTTACTTTTGGCGTTGACGATACAAAAGGTTGGACACCTGGTAGTGTCAAATGAGCTGTCCGATACCTTTGATGACAACCCCAAAGAAGTGATTGACGGCTCGGTTTGGTCAGACGGAGCGAAAAGCCGATGTGGGAGGTACGTCATTCGGCAAAGCTGTCAAAAAGTTGAGCGGATGGATTGTACGGTGGCATGCTACCACCATACGAAGACTGGGCCAGTTACTATTACTTTCGCCAACCAAATCTCAGCGGCAATACTCCCTTTCTCGCAGCAGAATAGACCCCGGACATGCTCATTCAACACCTTTGCTAGGAGAGAAGCAACGTTCAACAACGAAAGTGCTAGCATGATTGGCTTACAACATAATAACATAAGGAATCTATTGATCAAAGACATTCAACCCCTTCTCGAAACGATAGGTATCTCGTTCAGCCTCTGCTGCAGCACCTCGCCACTCCTCAGCCCAGTTGGCACCTGCAGGAGGAATGGGTCTACCAGCAATAACTGCCTCAATGTCATCTCTAATATCCAGTGGCATGTATTTTCTTGGGTATCGTCGAAGAGGAAGTCCTGTCCTACCATCCAGCAAGAACTTTTCAAAGTTGCCCTTTGTGATGAACATGCGTAGTTGGTGAGTACAAAGCCAGGATTGGAAGCATTCCATACAAAGCCCCATCTGACTTACCTGGACTCTTCCAAGCCCAGCGGGACTTCTACTGGTTCCCTCTAACCACCTCCAGAAAGGATGGGCACCTGTGCCTAGCAGGTTCACCTTATCCGTGACAACAGATGCTGGGTTGATACCATATCCATATTCTGATGCCAGCTTCAAGCGGATCAAGGTGGATGTATCAGGTTCAAAGTATCCTTGCTCAGTAGGACAACAAACAACCACAAACTCGCCATTGCGCCCATATCTGATAAAGTACAGCCATCAGTGAGAAAGCACAAATCGTTTGAAAGGTTTCATTAATGGAGTCAGGCACATCTCAATTTCACACACTCACTTTGTAACAAGAGAAATCAGTTCAGGAATATCCTTGCGAGCCACAGGATCGTCTTGTTTGATGTTCACCACTAGAACTGCCTTTACTTTGGCATTGTTGCCTGCATCATCAAATTGTTGTCTCACAACATCCAGGAGACTTTTGTCAGCACCCTCTACAGGCAAGGAAAAGTCATACATGGTCTTGTCTGTCTTGCGGACTTCCGATATTGACGGAGCTGATTCCATTTCTTTGGAAATCTTGTTGGCTCTGGCAGCAATTTCTGCAAAACTCTCTGTTTCGGCGGCCAATGACGCTGTGGGAGGAATCATTGCTGAGAACAAAACACTTGCTCCAATCAAACCAATGCTGGATAGGATATTTCTTCGGGAAGGAGTTTCCATGTTGTCATCACTACTACTAGGCATTTTCTGAAGAACAAATTCCCTTGCTGCATCTCGCGTCCTCCCGTTCAACTTCGGAGAGAAGGACATGGTATCTGGAACCACAAGCAGTGCGCAAAGCACAGCGAGTGCCAAGGAAAGGGATCTGACTGCCGACATTTGCACGAGATTTTCTATTGCAAAAGATACTGCGTCGATGGTTGTCTGTGTTGAACTGCGTTGACAATGATGAGTCCAAGAGTGTTTGTTTGGTTGTTCGGTTGCTTCTTCCCTTCAGCTTTTTTTGGCGTTGGCTTTTGGCTACACGTGTCGTTCTGAATTCGACCTTTTGAAGAACCGACCCAATCTAATCGAATGATTCGATTCTAATCAAATCGGCGAGCAAATCGATGAGTGTCAGTCGAGTGACAGACTGACAGTCGATCGCACCGCCTTGATCGGAGTTCATCGCGCAACGGCAAATGCGTTCGCTTTGGTCAGGAGGTGCTCAAGTCATAAGAATTCAGAATGCGGATGGTCGCGATTATTTATTATCACATGTGACTGGAACTGGACTGGCACTATGGAGAAGTGAATAGGTGAGTTATTGGTCTGACCCAGTGAAGAATAGGCCTTTAATTGTCTGTAGTCTTGAAAGAACCCCTACTCCACACACCACGTAAGTCGCTTGGTCTTGCAATCAATAATCATGCTGAGAGGTTGCTGAGTCAGTCAGTGAGATGGTCCTTTTTGGCGGGAACAGCCTTGTAACCATTTCGCCGACCTAAAAGAGGCGAGAGCCTCATCTTACCGGTACTCTAGCTAGTAGCTTTTGTTCGTCAGATTCCATTCTATCCCTCTTTCATCTTTCATCACAATCCAATCCACACTTCCAATATCTCTATCATCTATCGCTAGCTAGCTAGATCTCTGCTGCTAAATCGATCAAGACAACCACAATAGAATGACAATCTGTTCGGAAGGATCCATGTCGGACAATAAGCGCGTACAGTTTGAGCCACAAGTCAGTGTTGTTGCCGTTGATTGCCTTTTGGATGACTGCGACTGTGGCTCTCTCTTCTACTGCCAAGACGATTTCAAGAGATTTCGAAATGATATTAAGAAGGAGAAAGCTCGGGAAGCCCGAAAGAACCGAACGATGATGTGCCAAAAGCTTCTCGCACGCCGTCAAAAAACTGCCAGGAGTGCAGAATGAAGATGTCCAGCTTTGGAATGAGCAACACAGGATCTCACTAGCCGTCAAATAGATCATTCGATTCCAGTGCAACATTGCAGAAATCGCCAGATCCCAATCACTTGACAATGAGGGAGCCAAAGAACCAAGGAGATTCACCAAAGGGGCATCAAAATCCTGGTAAAAGGTACCAGGTGCGTACCTCAAAACGCGGGGGTAATCCTACCGGCACAAAATACTGACTGCCCTGAACTTGCAGCTGGTCCGTACCGGTACGGAAGTAGAGTAGTAGAAATAAGCGATTTACTATAGACAAATGACGCAAGTCTTATTCACTATTAGCCTCTATAATACATGTAGTCTATCTATTGCTTTTGCCGAATCGTAGGGCGGCTGCGAAAGCCTCGGCAGCAACGCAGCGGGCCCATCACAATGGCAACATTCGGCTCACTTTTCGCTTTTTCCTGAATCTCCCAGCCAGCGGACATCATTTTTGGATCTGATCGAAGTTGTGTTGAGCTCTGCTGGCCATGATGAGTTTGTTCGCATCGATGGGTCCATGACCACCGCCCAAGTAAGCGAGTTCTGCTGTTGCCTTTTGTATCCTGAATGCTTCATCCTCACACTCCCTGCTGCCTTCCTTCCAATTTTCAAGCGAACCAATTCAATGGATCATTTGACAAACGACGAGGGTTGCCGCTTCATCCTTTGTTCACTCAAAGCAGCTGGAATAGGCATCAATCTCACCGTTGCCAATGTTGTTTTCATGGTGGATCCCTGGTGGAACAATGCGACTGAGGTAAATAGTGTGCTGCTGTGCAATGTCCCCTCCCACACATGTATGTCCCACTCCAAAGCCAATCCACTACTCATGCCGTCTGAGATAGTGTCCCTTTGATAATTGCAAGTTGCCCGTAGCAGCTACCACCGGTAGACAAAGGGAAGGGGCAAAAACAGTCTAGACTACTAGCTACCAGTAGCTGGCAGCTAATGAGAAAGTGTGCGTGATTGCGTCTTGCCTTTGTACTGGTTTGGAACCACGGTTGTCAGGCCGAAAGATTCTTCGGCTCCTCCACGATCTTCTGCCCTCTGGCCTGCTGCCAACAACGGGATTCCCGAAGCCCAATCAATTTTATCATTATTTCCTGATTGCCACCAAAGAAAGAAGAGCTGATCAATACAATAGGGGCAACCATGAACGGACCACATCAACTGTTCTTACGCCACGGTGGGAGGATATGTTCAGCAGTAGCAGGAGGATCTGCGGCAGTCTTACTAGGGAGATCATTGCGAAGAGACGAAATTGTGGATGCTACCCAACAGCAGGATCATCGGCATTTCCTGTTTCATTCTAAGGGACAGTTGACGTTCTGCGAAGGAGCACCCGATGTGCCATCCACATCGGCTACAGATTCAGATAATCTGATGACTGAGGATACCCCGGAAAAAGCGAACAGCCAAGATGACGACTACCCCAACTTTTCGCGCCATGGATCCAAAGCAGCTTTGCCCAAATTTCTAACGCCCCAACTCTATCAGCAATTAAAAGATTTGAAGACACCCAAATTTGGAGTGACATTGGATGACATGATCCGAGCAGGAACGATGCTACCGTATGGAGCCAATCCTCCTCGTGGCGTGGGTGGTGTCTACACGGGAGATGCCGATTGCTATCGTGTCTTTGCGCCATTGCTGATACCCTTGTTGGAAGAATACCACGGCGTCACACTCGTGGGCGATACAGCAGCACGAACTTCCACTACTGGCCATCATCATCGACCGTTGCACCATCCCTATGGAAGTTTCCAAAGACCTACCCAACTCCACAATGTCGTCATTAATCGCAAACGAACGTACAATCGAAAACGAGAAAAGAGTAGTCTCAAACGACACACTACCAATTTGGATCCCGAACAAATTGTCCATACTGAATTGGATCCGACGGGAGAATACATTTTGTACACGCGCATGCGACTGGCACGCAATATCGATGGATTTGCCTTTTGCAGTCACATTAGTCGCAGCGATCGACGCCAAATACAGCGACTCTTTCAGACAATTGTCGATGAAGACTTTCGACCCTATCAAGGAGGAGCCTATATACCCATACATGCCATGACCAATCCACAGCACGACGATTTCATGTCCCGACGAATCTGTTGCATGGATCCCGATGAATTCAAAATTGCCGCCGGACAAGCACGCGATTGGCCCGATGCCAGGGGCATTTATGGGTGTCGGAATTGGGATGACAAGAAAAGTCGACACCAGATACGGCGGCGGCGTCCCTCCAGTCCTCTCATGGTGCGACCCACACAAGAAGAAATTGAATTGTGGGAAGAGTCGCCACCCAACATTATCATGTGGAACAACTACGACGATCACTTTTGGATCATTAGTGTCAATAAGGGTGGCGACGTACAGGGAGTCTTCAAGGCTCTGTCGGATGCCGTGCGACAGCTCGAATTGAGTTTGCTGGAACGTGGACACGCCTTTTGTGAGCACCCCAAGTTGGGATTTCTCACCAGTTCTCCCAGCAATGTGGGGACGGCACTGCGGGCCAGCATGTCGGTCAAACTCGTGCGATTGGGAAAGCAACACCCCGTCTTGTTTCAAGAAATACTGGATCGGTTGCATTTGGAAGCCAAGTCGGACTATGCCGAAACCGATCAACGGTACACGGGAATTTATGACATTGCCAATGCAGAACGACTTGGGAGAACCGAAGTACAGTGGATCAATGTCATGATTGAGGGAGTGGCCAAATTGATTGAATTGGAAAAGAAGTTGGAGCGAGGAGAAGCCGTGTCATTGCAAGATGTGGAAAAGGTTGGCAAGAATGTGGAAAGTTGAAACGGACACAAGTACGAAGGATCCTGGTTGTGGTAAACATAATAATATATCGCTCTTGTAGCGTTGTTTCTTTGATAAAGGGTTTAAAGTGCCTTAGTATGAGAATTGATCACGTAGTACCGATCACCTCCGCACAAACAAACACCCATTAGCACTATCATTCGTTGTGTGTACGGCACTATCGTTCATTGTGTGTCCTGTGTGGTACGTCGTGTTAGTTGTTCATTGTGTGTCCAGAGTTGGTACCGGTACGTCGTGTAGTGGGTTACGCTGCTGCACTTTCCTCGCCAGATTGCTTGTCAACAGCTCCTTCTGCCCCTCAAACCCCCGTTTGTCAATGCCAACAACAAGAGGCACTACGCCCACCATAGGTCTAGGAGTCGGTCCATCCGGGCAGTAGTTGAGCCCTGAGCCGGAGCTGGTGGAGCATGCCTGCAAGTCTCGCAGGTTCAGGAAACATGCATGAGTGGGGTTCGAAGTTGCGCAGGGGAAGAATCCAGGACCTGGTGCCGCAAGGGGCACAGGTGTGTGTCATGCAGGCGGCGAAGCAACATGCCACTATCGTTGTCGCTATCTGCGTGTCTCCTTGCCAAGCTAAAGTTCGGACATCTACTTCATATGCCAATATAATATGAAGCTGCAATTGTCTATTTCTTACAATGCCAAAAAATTGCTTTCAAAGTGGGTGGCGCGCTTCTGAGAGTGGTAATCATAAACAGATGAGTGACTTAGCGGGCGGCAGCAACTTGCTCTTCTTCGTCGCTGTCTTCAGCAGCAGAATCAGGAACTATACAGTGGGCCCCTGCTGAAACCTTGTTTGAAAGGGCTGCTTCGGCGACTGCCAAACCAGCGTAAGCGGCATCTCTGAGGCCTGATGTCTCCAAAGTTGGGCTCATTCGATGCAACTTCGTTGCTTCGGCTCGAATCTCGTTCAAGTCTTCAATGGCGGTCTCAAGCCCCCTTGCATTGCGAACAACTCCCACGTGATCCCACATGGTACGTCTCAAACGTCGGAGCTGCTGCATTGCTCTATGTGCAGCGGTTTCAATGTGAGCTGGCTCAAGTGACACTGACCTGAATCGAGGATTGTTTTGCACAAATGCTTCTAACTTTTCTCCGGCTTCCCCACGTAGACTCTTTCCTTCGCTGCTTCCAATGTAGTCGGCGACTGACGCACCAAACACCAGTCCTTCCAAAAGCGAAGTCGAAGCCAAGCGGTTTCCTCCATGAAGTCCAGTCCTAGCCGCCTCACCGGCTGCATACAATCCTGGCAATGACGTTCTTCCTTGCATATCCGTTGCGATTCCACCGCAGGTGTAATGGGCCGCGGGGGTGACAGGCAACAAATCTTTGGCCAGATCCAATTTTTTCCGACTAAGGTGTTCCTGAATCGACGGGAAGCGTCCGTGCAACCAGTCACCGTCACGGTGTGTAATGTCGAGATAGACGTTGTGTTGTGATCCGTCACCTTTTTGGCCTTCTTCAAAGACTCCTCTTGCCACAATATCACGAGGTGCCAGTTCGCCATCGGCATGAAAATCTTTTGCAAAGGCTCTTCCAGAAGCATCACGCAAGATTGCTCCTTCTCCGCGCAGCGCTTCTGTGAGTAGGAAGCGTGCTTCGTTGGGAATGTACAAGGATGTAGGATGGAATTGAACATATTCCAAATCTTTCAACTTGGCACCGGCTCTGTACGCCAATGCGACGCTGGATCCCAATGCATTGAAACCGGCCGGATTGGTGGAATGTTCATAGATACCCCCCAATCCGCCACTGGCCAGGACGGTTCCCCGGCAGGCGTATTCCAGAGTTTGTTCTCCCGAGAATCGGTTCAGAGTGGCCACTCCCAAACACACGTCATCTTTCACTACCAGGTCTGTAACTATTGTATGAGGTTGCATGCTAATGAGAGGGTGTCTAGCCGCGGCTTGGGTGATGTGTTGCGTAATGGTTCGTCCAGTGTGATCGGCACGGTGCAAAATTCTGGGCGCTGCGTGGGAAGCCTCTTCACGGATAGACAAACAAGATAACATTAGGTTTGTTCGTTTTCAAACACCACCAAACAGCAGCAGAATGCAGCAGCTCTGCTTGCGGCAAATACTGTTTGGGGTACATAACCAACAGATCCAGACAAGATAATCATCAGATAAACCTACCAAGACACAAGGAAAGGGTTCCATCATCGCGTTTGTCAAAGGGTACTTGAGCATAAACTTTCTTGAGACTCTCATCTAGCAAAAGTTGTCTAACTCGATCAGGGCCTTCTTCCGACACCTTTTGCACCGCATCGTCCTCGCACAGCCCTGCTCCTGCTCGATGAATATCCTGTGCCAATAGTTTGGCACTGTCCCCGGAAACAGGATCATAATTTCGGTAGATAATACCTCCCTGGGCCCAAAAGGAGTTGCAGTCTTCAGGTACATTTCCCGCAAACAGCAGGGTTACCGGAATCTGATACGTCTCAGCGGCTACTAGAGCTGCTGAGCAACCTGCCACACCCGAACCCACTACCAATAGCCGGTCTGCCTTTTGTATATCATGTATATGATGGGCTGAATTGATAATCTTGTTGAGCAAGGCAGGTTCAATTTGTTGTTGCTCTTGTTGCTGTTGTTGTTGTCGTGTACTTGCATCGGCCACTTTTTCATCGGCATGCTGTATCCTGGTGGAAAATGTCGCTGATGACATCAGATGAGAAGGCTTGGGCGTCACCCTCAACCCGCCGATCGGTGGACGGCCATGGTGGACCACTTTTCGTACCGTCGCTCGCAGAGTCCGAATCATGGCTGGCCAGTATTAACAGGAATAAACGACTTCGTTGCGCGGTAATGAATGAATGAACGGGCAAGTTTCGGATTACCCCGAGTCGAGTCGTCTTTTATGTTTCCACACCTTTACACGGGTGCTGCCATTCCTTGGCAACTAACTGCTGGTACGGTATGCGATGGTAGAAGTTCAAAGATCGGCGTTCGTCGTGTGGTAAGGTGGTGAGGTTGCAACTCACCTGGCAGCAGTTTTGAGAAGCCTCTCGAAAAACAACCTTTCAGGTAATGAGTCAGCTGAATAAGCGAACTCCTTTGGTTGTGATTGGACGCATTTTCCTTTCATTCATGTCTTCCGTGCTTTGGATGGCTGTGACGTAGGTGCGTGAAGTTGGATCTTTCGCTCATCTCTTCTTTGCTGCTGTGGTATCTTTTGCCACCTCCGGACAAGGCAAACTCTCCGGAATTTGGCGCACGCAACCGAGACGAGGCCATCACCAGAGAAGGTTCCAGACGACCATTTCCCTGTAGCTGACTGCATTGTAGCTAGAGTAGCTCGATTGCTTCAGGGATTGTTCTTCCTGGGGAAGTGCGCACCATGTGGTGTCTGTAGGCAGTTTGTTGAGCTGTTGCTTGATGGTATGGTTGCTTGTTAGGCCGCTCTCTACCGGAGGGACTAAAGTAGCGACTAAGCCATATTTCATGGTTTAGTCGATAGTTTAGTCTCTTGGGGTGGTGTCTACCCAAGGGACTAAACGTCCAAAGGACTAAAGCCTTTAGTCACAAGGTTGGTTCACCGACTAACGGGAGGCTGGTTAGTCGGTGAGTGAGCGTAACGACTAAAGCCTCTTTAAGAACTCTTTAAGAACAGCACTTTAAAAAAAGAACAGCACCCTCATTGCACAGCCTCACTATCAGAGCATCGCGACAGAGCTGATAGAGTAGAGGTGCGATCGAACGATCCAAGAGGAGTATCGGCCGATAGTAGAGGTGCAACCGATAGTAGAGGTGCAACCTATCGAACGATCGAAGAGGAGTATCGGCCGATAGTAGAGGTGTGATCGAACGATCGAACGATCGAAGAGGAGTATCAGCCGCACCTCTATCGCACTTTATCAAGCCGACAGTCTTCGGTTGAGAATAGAAAGCCATCCCTCATTGCAGAGTATGGAGTGCGGGATGGCTTTCATTTCTCGGCCTTTGACTGAATCATACGATTCTAGCAAAAAGTGACTGAATTAAGTAGTTTTACTGCACTACGCTAAAAGCTAGTGTAAAGATCTTTCGAGTGTTTTGAGTTTGAGAGAATCAAAGTTATGAGAGAGATTAGAAAGCTATGAAAACTAATCAACGAGAGAGATCATCATCAAGGGATCGTAGATCTGGCTTCCCGCGGGAGACTATAAAGTGTGATAGAGTAGGTTGTGGTAGTAAGCCTACGTCTCTCCACGATCCTAAAACGGAACGCGTGGAAGGTCTGTCTAGCCTGGATCTAGTAGCGTGGAAGTACTCCACGCTGGCTAAATATCTAGAGCGATGTTTCATCATCAACCTAGTATGACTAGCGCGGTCATTGAGAACCCTGTCTCAGATGACTATTCACGAGAGACTCAGTCATGAGTCGAACTCAAACCCTATCTAGGATCGAGTCGCGAATAAGGCTAAGAGCCGTGTATTGCATTCGCCCCCTGACAGGGTCACAGAAGGCGCGACAGCAGTCGGACAAGGAGAACATATGATTTAAAGTGCGGGCACTCTCATGAGATTTGATGTAGACATGTGCGTCGCACGATGGCAATCCTACAAGGGGATCAGGCTTGTATGGGTGTAATACCTTATGTTCCAGTCTGGTAGACTGTGCCGCCGTTGGCGGTAGCATGTGTGGAGCCGTACAGTGCCATTGTCATTGACTCGGTCTATAGTGTAAGGACCTTGTACTTTGGCTGACCGTACTTGCGGTGCTGATACTGTTGAATCATCACAGTATCGTTGACATTGTATGATGTGGGGACACGCGTTGCGTTTCTCCTATCGTTGTTTTGTTTGGATTAGTCGTTGGCGACGTTCCTTAATGTTCTTCCAGTTGGCTTCGAACCGGACGTTGTGAATTGCATCACGATTGAACACGAGCTGTGCGGCGTTGCACGCAAGTGGTATGAATCAGTGGCATTCATTGCAAAGCGAACCGCCGTGAGGACTCCATCCCAGGATCCATTCACGAGGTCATCTTGGCACTTGATGTTTTGAACAGCGATCAAGATCGTATGGTTTGATGAGCACGCTCGACATAGAGTTGGCTTGAGGGTTACGCGATTGATGAACTTGCGACGAAGTCCATATTCATCCCGGAGAGTCTTTTCGACCTCTGTGCGGAACTCGACGTCCTCTATCCATGATAACCTCAGCAGGCCATGGAACCGAGTAAGCCACGTTGTTCTAAACGATGGCTACTTCGTCTGCTGCCTTGGAGCAGATCTCTGCATCTCGAACCATCCGGTTAGGATCAATCATTGTCAAGCAATGAAGTGCAGGAATTCTTTTTCTTAGGATCCCGACGTTGTAAGGACCTATCAGGTCAATACATAGTCTTTCCCAAGGGATCTCCTCGCAAGTCTTGGAGGCATCAATCCCAGCTTACGCGTTCTTGGGTTTGTTTCATCTGGCAGCTTTGGCACGCTGACATACGGCCTGCACAGTCTGCGCAGCCCTTTCCAGGTGAAGTGTTGGCTGATGGTTAGTTCCGTGCGAGTCTCGCCAGGATGCATCAGCACACCATGGTACCATTCAACTAGCTTCTTCTGCATAGTTTTAGGTACGACAATTTTCTCGTCCTTAACTACTAAGTCGTAGGACTTATCCCCTCTGGGAAAGATTGCTTCTTGTAGTCGTTTGGCTTGTCCCTGAGGAGCTTCTTGATATCGTTGTCGTCTTTCTGACGATGTTCGATCTCGGGAACGAGAGAGGAACTCGCTAGGGAAGTCCTCTTCGTCTGCAGCCATGAGTTCAGCGATCTCTGGGCGTCCATCTGTTCTGAAAAACCGTCGTTGTTGGAGAGTTAAGTCTCGACAACGCATCAGCGACGATGTTCTGTTCGCCTTGATGTACGTAGTTCAGGGTAGGCGAGCAAGGTTTTCCTTGCTGATGATCTTCTTCATCTGGCTAAAGGCTTGTCGTGTTCGGCTTCCCATTTCCACTTCGTTGTTTTGGAAGTCAACGAAGCGAGTGGGGCTAGTACATGTGATCGTCTAATCCACATGTCTCGATAGTAGTTCACTAGTCCCATGAATCTACGGAGTTCCTTCCTGTTGGTAGGAGGAGCGATATTCTTGATCGCGTCTATTTTCTTGGTTATAGGTTGGATCCCTTCTCGAGTGATCCAGTAACCTAGGTACTCAATTCTCCTCTTGCGAAGAAGGACTTGTAGCATTGATCTTAGTCCGGCTTCTCGAAGCCTTCGGAACTTCATCCAACTTTTCAACGTGATCTGCTAGATCGCCGTTAGTTAGGATGAGTAGATCATCAATGTATGCACGGACGTATTCTAGGTCGTGCATTAGTGTTCCCATCTTCTCTTGGAAGATGTCGGGACTGTTACATAGGCCCATTGGCAACCTCTGGTACTCGTACTTTCCCCACGGGAGTACGATGGTACAGAGTTGCTTCGAGTGAGGTGACAGCTCGATGTGGTAGTATCCCATGTTCAGGTCTAGACTAGTAGCGTACTTGAATCGTCTAGATTCAAGAGCATGTCCTGTATTTTTGGGATAGGATAAGGCTTCCGCTTAATCCTTTTGTTCAGTTCCCGGAAATCAGAGATGAATCGTACAGATCCATCTTTCTTGGGAATGATGAAAGTTGGTGCCGCCCACTCGGAACGGTTTACCTTCTTGAGTACTCCTGCTCGCAGAGACGTTCAACCTCCATCTTAAGAGTGTTGGTATGGACTCGTGGAATAGGGTAAGCCCTTGCATGATAGGGTTTAGCATCGGGGAGAAGTTCTACTTCGTAGTCGTCCATCTGCCACTTTCCCAAAGTACCATCGAATAGGTCAGAGTACTTCGTCAGTAAGGAATGAAGCTGTTCCTTCTCTTCCGTGTTTAACTGATCTTGACTTTGGCAACCTGCCTTAAGTCAGCTTGTTCGTATTTCGCATCAAGATCTCTTGAGACGATTGCACTGCATCAACAGCGGTAGGATCAGGAATGAAAAATTTTCTTCTTCATTGGTATCGCTATCTTTCATAGGAATAGATGCGCCGTCCCATTCACTGACATGGTAGTGAAATCGAACTTAAATCCTAAGTCAGAGAGATATATCTCGACCTATTATCATGTCCATAGCGCCCCCAAGCTC